AGGGTATCGCTATCTCTGTCAGTCTTTGCCTGTCTGTCTCTCTCTAGTGTATAGCAAGGGAGTTAAAATAAGTGAATGTGCAGCCAGGCATGGTGGTCACATCTGTAATCCCAGCATTTAGGAGGCCGAGGCAGGAAAATTAATGCATGTTTGAGGCCAGCCTGAGCTACAGAGTGAGTTCAAACCTAGTCTGGGTTACCTAGCCAGGCCCTTTTCAAAAGTAAGCAAACAAACAAAAGAAGTTGAAAATAAGTTAGAATTTTCAGCGAGTCCTAGGGAAACAAAGAAAGCATGAGGGAGAAAGAAGCCCACTTACGACTGTACTCAAGGAAGATTTCTGAGAGGAGGTAAATTTGAGTTGTGACTTGGGCCAAGAGCAGGAGGCAGCCACTGGTAATTGGAGGCAGATACTTCTGGGCAGAGATGGCAGCAAGTGCAAAAGTCCTGGGGCCTGAGGACGTAAAAGAGAACATTAAGTGTGGTGTGAAATAACTTTGCGGGGAGGTAGCAGCCCAGTCACAGCTGGCCGTGGGAACGAATGTGGATTTCATCCATGACTGTATTTTTAGTAGCCAGGACATGCTCATGTTTTGAGTGTGGGGGTGATGTTAGGGGGAGCCCTTTCCTACTCAGCCCAGACGATGTGACCCCAGACTCTTTCTCCACATGGTAGCTGGGATACAGGGTTGCTCCCAGTGTGACCCAACCCCTCGTTTACAAAGGGAGATACTGAAGACCTTTAAGGTCACCTTATCTAGACCCCAGAGAGGGGCTGGGAACCCCCAAACTCACCCTGAAATCCAGTGACTCCTATGCTAAAATCCAGGCTTCTGGAGCCAGGCATGGTGGTGCATGCCTGTATTTCCAGTACCCTGGGAGGCTGAGGCAGGTGGATAGCAAGTTTCAGCCTAGCATGAGCAACTTTGCAAGACTGTGACACAAAATAAAGACCAAGGCCTCTGGCAGCCCTGCCTTCCTTCGGGCCAGAGGAGGAAAGATGAGCCATGGCAGAGATGAGCTGACCAGGCCTGGCCATGTGCCGAGGTCACCAAGCAGGAGCATAAGAAGGGGGTCCGGGGCAGGCAGGACCCCCGGGGCACTGAGAAGGGCGGGTCCTCAGGGGACATGGAGAGGAGAGCAAGGGCACTTACAGCAGGGCCCCATCTGTGGGCTGGTGGGCCTGGGGGACCTCTCAGTACCTCAGGGGCCTGGGACAGCCCTGAGCAGGACCCAAGAAAGGAGAAACGGAGGAGCTCCTGGAAGCCCAGAGCGAGGTGGGTGAGGTTAGTTAGTGCTGTGACCAAAGCCCAGGGAAAAAAACAGCTCAAAGAGAAAAGATTTAATTTAGCTCAGGTTTCAGCCCCTGTCCGCTGGCTTCTGGGTGGAAACGTGGCAGCAGGGCACAGCAGGGGAAATCTTGGTGGCAGGTGCTTGTGTTCCCAGTACCTTGGGAGGCTGAGACAGGAAACAGACCAGGGGGCTGTGTGTGCCTCAGGGAAGGAGGCTCTTCCGCTCCTCTTTGTTAAATACTTAACAAGGTGCCGGACACTCTTCTAGGTGTTGGTGACACTGTGGTGCCCCAAATAGCATTTACTCCTTGCCTTCGTGCAATTTAGATCCCTCAGTGAGGGATGCAAACCAAAAATAAAATAAAGTAAAATAAAATACGCACCATGTAGAGTATGCCCGGGTTGTACTGAATGCCAGGGAAAGCAATAGGCTGTGCCTTCCTGTGAAAGTGATTTTTTTCCCCTTTCATTGGTTTTTTGAGACAGGGTCTCACTATGCAATTCAGCTGACCTTGAACTCACTGTGTAACCTAGATTGACGTTGAGCTCAGGGTGATCCTGCTGCCTCAGCCTCCCGAGTGCTGGGGTTACAGCCATGCCCAGCTGATTTTGTTTGTTACGACAGGGTCTCCCTGTGTGGCCCAGGCTGGCTTGGAACTCCTCCTGCCTCAGCCTTCTGAGTGCTGTGATTCCTGTCCCATGCTGCCATGTCTGGGCCATGTCTGGGCCAGTCACACCTGGAGGAGGGGAGAGGATGGGGAAGAGCAGCCAGGCAGTGGGAGTGACCAGCTGAGACCCCGAGGCAGGAGCTTGCCTGTTCCAAGGGACAAGGAGGAGATGCCTGGGCAGTTTAGCAAGACCTGGCCTCAAAATAAAAACAGACAGGGGGTGGCCAGGGGGGCTGGCTGCTTCCTGCAGGTGGAAGACTCACTGCAGGCCACACCCTGGGGCTTTCAAAGGGGAGGCCCTTCTGATTCGGGAGGGAGGCTGGATGCTGGAGGGAGGTCGGATTTCTGGGTTTTGGAGCAGGCTCCGCCCCCTGGTCGGCTTCCCGGGGTTGTGTTTGTTTCTCTTCAGAGCTGAAAGGCAAAGCTCTTTAGAAAACTCAACCTGCGGCTTAGACTTATGCTGAGACAAGGAAGAAGACTGAGCCCCCGTGATGTGGCTTGTCAGGCGATGGGGTGGGGGACCATCCCTGCCAGGGAGAGAGTGGGGACAGCCTGGGGAGGTCCAGGAGCCCCTGTCTTTTCAGCAGGCTTTGGGGAAACCAGAAGCTTTTTGTTTTTGTTTTGCTAGCAGGGATTGAACTCATGAACTCATGACTGTGCCAGGTAGGCGCTTATGCTGCTGAGCTAAATCCCAGCCCTCTTTTTGATTTTTTAAGCCACAATCGTAATTATGAAGCTCAGACTGGCCTTGAACTCACTATGCTGCCCTGGAACTCCAAGTGATCCTCCTGCCTCAGCTTCCCAAGTGTTGGGATTACAGGCGTGCCCAGCATAACCAAAACTTTTGGTTCTCCTACTTGGGAGGATGAGGCAGGAGGATGAAAAGTTCTTGGTCAGCCTGGGCAGTTTAGCAAGACTATCTCAAAAAGGGGCTAGGGCTGGAAGAGGACAAAAAGGGGGACATTTGTTCCCAAAGCTGGAGGTGGAGTGGGCAGCAGCCTTGTTCCAGCGCTGAGTCCAGGTTCAAGAGTTGGTGTGTGCCCTTTGGCAAGTGTGGGGGACCCTCAGAGTCCCTCAGTGACTGCAGAAAGAATGCATCTTCCATCTGTTGTCCTTGAAGACAATTCTGGGGGTGCAGGGTGCCTGGTAGGTAAAGACGAGCATCTATGTTTGCAAAACAGAGTCCAGCTTGGAAAGTTGGAGCACCAGCACCGAGGACCAGAGGGTAGAGGAGGGTGCACTCAGCTCTGCTCAGCTGTGCCAGGGCCCCACTGCCTGGGCTTTAGGACACAGAACCCTGCCCCTGGCCAGAATTACCAGGTCTCCCAGGAATTCAAGAGAAGTCAGGAAGTCAGACCTGGAAGATGATTAGGAATTAACTGACAAAACAAAAAACAAGGAGAATCACCACAGGTCGAGCCAATCTGCCAGCCGGTTGGTGATATCCTGCCCTGGCAAGGCAGCACCTAGGCCAGGTCCCGGGTTGCCTGCCTAGGGCATCTCCTGGGAGAAGGCTGCTCATCCGGAAGCAGGCTTTTGGGCCCAGCACCCTGGGGACCATTGGAAGAGCTGGTCCCAGGCAACCTTGAGGCTTCTCTGGGCCCCGGATGCCCAGCCTGTAAGCAGCCCGGCCTGAAAGGCTCCTACCAGTTGGGACAGTGTGTGACTAAGGCCCACAGGCTTGCAGGAAGATGCACTTATTATGGAAGTGACTCTTCCCTGAAACGTGCTTCTGGAAGCTGTGTGCTCAGCCATTTCGGATATCCACAGTCACAACTCTGTGTGTGACAATGTAGGTGTGTCACAACGTGGGAGCTTTGCGTGGCACAGTGTAAACAGCAACATTTTAATAACCTTGTCCTTCGGGGAACCTGGAGGAAATCTTCATTAATTCTTGGGGGAAGTGGGAGGGCAGGGTGTATTTTTCCTCAGCCCAAAGCCCGGAGGTGGCTCCTACCTCGGGTGCTGGTTCCAGGGTAGAATGTAGCAGCCCTCCCCCAAGGGGTGAGACTGGGATTTTAGGCTCCGCTCTCTGCCTATCCCAGCTGAGCTGCAGGAAGGCAGCATACAGAAGGAAAGGGCCCTATTTTCCTGGGAAGGGAGAGTAACTGCCCGGCTGGCCCCTGGATCTCCATCGTTGGCTGCCCCGAAATCATCCTGGCCACTGTTCTCTGCAGCAGTCAGAGACTGGGGCGCCTGAACCCCAAGTCTATGGCTCCTTTTGCAGTGAGGGTCATGTGCACAGGCCTTCCTTCTCTGAGGCCAGTAGATGAGGAGACTCTGCAGGTGGAAAAACCCCTGGCTTCTGCATACTCTCCTCTTTCCCTTGTCCCCCATCCCACTTTCTCCACCTGCGCCCTGCCCTGTCTCAGGGTGCCCGCGTCTGCGCGCGCTCCCCGGCTGCCACGCGCGACACTGCGCTCCTGCTGCATTTCCTGGCTGCGGCTCCCCCCACCCCCACCCCGCATCCTCCCCAGTCCCGGAGCGCACGGGCCCTTTAAATCCTCCGGGGCGGCGGCGGCGGGCCGGGGATGACATCAGCGGGCGGGCCCGGGGCTCAATGGGAGCCGCGGGTGCGCGCAAGGCGGACGCGCGCAGGCCGGCGGCGGGGGCGGGCGGGAGGCGGTCGGGCGGAGGGAGGCGGCGGCGGCGGCGGAGCCCGGAGCAGAGTCGGCCGGGCCGAGCGGAGCGGATCGCGGTGCGGCGCGGCGGCTGGGCCGGGAGAGGCTGGGGCGCCCCGAATCCTCCGGCATCCGCCCCGGCGGGCCGCCTCCGCCCGCGGGAGCCCCCCGAGCAGCGGCCCGGCCCCGGCGCCTTTCCGGCGGGGTGAGTATCGGGGGGCCGCGGGCCCGCGGAGGGGCGCGAGCCGGGGGGAAATGGGGCTCCCTCCGCCTCTTTGTTTTTGCTGGGAGAAGGAGGGCGGGGAGGGCGACACACGCGCGTTCGAGCCGCGCAGGGGGCGCAGTCCGGGCGCCGCCCGCCCGGCCCGGCGAGGACAAAGGCGCGGCCGGGGACGGGGAGGAGGGGGACTGTTATTTTGCACGCCTGCCGGGAGAGGGGCCCCCTAGACCGGCGTCCCCCCACATTTGGACTCTCCCTTGGGCCCCGGTTCGGGGGCGATCTCCAGCTGAGATTCGGGGCTGGCGAGGAAGGGGGCTGGGGGGACGCGGTCCTGTGGATCGGGGCTCCCAGGCCAAGCCCTGGGCTTCGGTAGCTTTCCGGACGATCAGCAGCGCCCCCCTCCTCGCGTGGCCCTGGTGCCCCGCACCCAGGGTCACCAAGGCTGTCCCCGCCTGTTGGATCGGAGCGTCATGAGGTCCCTGGGTGCCAGAGTGTGTGGTCCCCCAGGCCACCAGCTGTCTTCTCCTTTGTGGAGAGAGGAAGGGTGGGGGTTATTTATCTGCGGGGATTCTCCCGTTCCTCCCCGGTGAGAAACCCTTGTTCTGCTGGCGACCATGGAACTGGAGCCCGGACCTTAGGAGAGACGCCCCCAGTTCCTCGCAGGGCCAAACTCAGAGTGAGGCCAGCCCCCTCCCCAACTTTGCCCTGAGTTTTTTTTTTGTTCTGTTTTTTTGTTTTTGTTTTAATGTATCTCTTCTTCCCTCGGTATAGCCTCCCCCGGGGAAAAGGATTGGGAGGGGGCGGAGTGTCTTAAGTTGCTTCCAGTGCATGCCCGTGTTTGGGGCTCCTTGGTCTTGAGGTCTGAAGTGTGCCTTTGGTTGTTATTTTCGTGGTCCAGTCACAAGGCTCCTGACTGGGGAAGTGGGGAGGCCTCAGGAAGTAAAAAACCCGATCGTGGGTGCTGTACGGGGTGGTAGTTGTCTAATTTTCCCCGCCGTCTGAAACTCTTGAATCTCCGTCTGCTTCCCCACCCCACTTTGTTTCTCTCCCCTCACCCCTACCCCACCCCACTCCCCTGGGAATCCCAGCCAAAGAACTGGAAAGCTGCTCCCCTTCCGGATGAAGCCCAGCTGCATTCTTCTGGGGGGCTTCAGGAGGAGTGCTGGGACAGACTGTGTCTTTCTAGGGACCCTGGATGCTCGCTGCTGGGGGTCCCCGGTACTCTGGGTGGCAATCATAGACCGGTTGTGGGGTCTTGCAGACCGCTCACACCTCATCTCCTCTGCAGACTACCGGGTGCGGGGAGGGGGCCGGGGTCATGTGTGGTGTATTTATGTAAGACCCAGACAGAGGGCACAGGTATTTATATAACCCGGCGTGGGTATTTATGTAATATAGGATGCAAGGATATTTATGTTCCTTTTCCTAACCTGCTCGGCTCTCGCGGCTGCCCCCCTTGCATAGTCTCTGAATTGGTGTTGGTGGAAAATGGGCTGGTGGGGGCCATGCAGGTACCCCCTCCCCCTGGGCTGACCATGCACACCGCTTCCCTTGCTTGCTGGCAGGGACGAGCTTGGGAAGCCGGGCAGTGTGTGGCTGTGGGGCGTGTGGCTTTCCTGCAGATGTGGGGCACGTGCTGCTGGCAGCTGAGGCACCTCAGCTGGGCCAGGTCAAACATGCAGGCAGAGGCCCGGGACTTTGGCTGGCACGGCGTGGCGGCCGACTTCCTTGCTGCTGTTGAGGCCGAGCTGCTCCTGGGAGCTGGGGCTGCTGTCCTGGCCAGGAGCTGTTGGCTCCGTGGCTCTGTCCCAGCTGGGAGGTCTCGCCTGACCATCAAGGGAATAAATCCACTCTGGCTCCTATCCCAGGTGGCCTGATGGCTGCTGGGGGTGGTGACTCTTGGCATGGGAAGGAACAGTTCCTTGGCGCTTTCCCATCTTCTGTTTTGCCTTTTGGCCCTGGTGTAAAATGAGCAGCCTGTGTGTGTTTGTGTGTGTCCCCATCAGCTGGGGCAGTGGGACCCCTTTTGGGTTCTGGGTGAGACCCTGCCATTGACTTGCTGCTGGCTGGTGTGGGCACAGTGGCATGATCCCTCTGGGCCTCAGTCTCCTTGTAGTCACCCCACTGCTGTCTTGTAAACACAGAGGTTGCAGAGACCCCTCCCGCTCCCCAATCTGTCTGCCTGTCCCTGTCCCCCCAGTAGGCTGAACCACTGCCATGACTTGAGCTGCCTGTCTGGGAATTCAGGAGCCCAGACCTCTGCCCCAGGCCTGTGCAAAGGGTCCCAGCCAGGGTGGCCTGGGCCCTCTCGTCTGTAGGCTTAAGGGGCCTAGCGTGGGTCTCAGGACGGAGAGAAGCCGCTCAAATCAGAGCCCTTCTTGCCCCACTAGCAATCTAAAACTCAGGAGCTTAGTGAGCCAGGCATGGTGGCTCGTGCCTGTAATCCCAGTGCTCAGGAGGCTGAGGCAGGAGGATCCTTTCAAAGTTTGAGACCAGCCTGAATTGCATAGACAGACCCGGCCAGAGTGCTCCCTCCTAGGGGTCCAGGGACAAAGACCTGGGTGATTCGCTGATATCCTGAGTGGGGGCAGACGACACGATTTCTGTACTCTCCACACGGGGTCAAATCCCTCCTTTGGGGCCCTTGGTTTCCCTTTCAGTCTTGGTCCGCAGTGACTGTCTTCCCCTTGAGAAGGTGCTGTGATAGGATCCCCACAGGGTGTCCCCCAAAGGGATGCCATCTCTTGGCTGTTGTTTCCTCTCGGGCCTCGGGCACCTACTCCATCTTTTGCCAGGCTAAGCTGAGCGCTGTTGGGAGCCTGGGCAGTTCTCCAGCTGTGTGGGAGGGCGGGGTACTGGGACCTGGGGTTTGGCACCTGGCACCTAATTGCCCTTAAGTAAAGTGAGGCTGACTTTCTGAATGTGGGAAGAGGGGAGGATCCTTCCAGATCCTGGTGGCTTGGCCTGCCCTTTGGTGGGAGGCAGTGGAGTCCATGGAGGGGGGGGGGCTTGCCTCGGTCCCTGTTCTCTGACCCCACTCTTTCTGTTTCTCTCTGCAGCAAGAGTGAACCATGGAGCTGCGTGTAGGGAATAAGTACCGTCTGGGTCGTAAGATCGGGAGCGGATCCTTTGGGGACATCTACCTGGGTAAGTGTCCGGACCCCCAGTTGCAGTCCCCGCAGGGCCAGGAGGAGGGAAGATGCCAGCATCTCAGTGTCTGGAGCCAGAAGCTTGCTCCAGTGGTGGGCATTGCCTCCGGGGCCACCCAAGATGGGGAGGGAGACCACCGGGATGAACACACGAGGTGGTTTGTTTGGTTTTAGTGTTTTGAGGCAGTTTGACGTTGTAGTTCAGACCGGCCTGCAAACTTACTATGTAGCCCAGGCTGGCCTGGAATTCCTCCTGCTTCAGCCTCACAAGTGCTGGGATCTCAGGCATGTGCCAGCCAGCCTGGATAAATAATGTATTTTTAGTTCTGATTTCCAGCTGGCTGGCCCGATCTTAGCTAGGCATGGGAAAGCCCAGACTGAGTTATGTCCCTGTCTTGTGTGTCCTGGGAGAAATATGCTGGTGACAGAAAGGAGGCCTTTGCCTCTGTGTGACCCCCTTCCAAGGCCCCTGGAATGCAGCCCAGGCTGGCTCTGAGATGACACAAGGGAGGGGTCTCCGAGGGACCCCCTTCTCTCCGGATGTGCTTCCTGGTGGAGTCTGAGTTTGTCCCGATGGGGTATTTTGTACAAATCGCTGACTTCTCAGTCTTCTAGACTGAAGAGGGGAGGCTGTGGCCTGGAACACTGCCCCTCAGCCCGTGGGATGACCCTTCCCCTGCAGTCACTGGTCCAGAGGGAGATTCCAGGGGTGATTTCGGTTTGAGGGCCTTGTTGTGAGAGCGGGCAGCAAACCAGGAGGTGGGCCTTCTCCATGCACTGCTCCAGTGCCCTCTGGGGTGGGCCTGCACCACATCTGTGCCTCAGTTTCCCTCCTTGGGCAGTGAGAATAAACCAGCTCTGGTCTGGGCAGAGGAAACCGAGTCCATGAACTGTGTTCATCCATTCAGACCCCAGGGTTTCCTTCTCCGGTGGTCAGCGTCCCTGCCCCTTGGTGTACGACCCCATCCCACTCCCGGCTCAGTGAGCCTCAGGGTGCTTACCTGGGGAGCCCGGGTGAAGCTGGGTGCCGTGGGGTCAAGGTGACTGCCCATGGGTGCTCAGAAAACCAGCAGAGGCGCCTTTCACAACCACCACTGCTTCCCGGGTCAGAGTGGTGCAGATGCCTGGGAGACGCAGACAGGCCTGGCCTGGTGCACCTGCCTGGACCTCTGTCCGCCTGTAGTGTATGGGTTGTTGCTGCCTGACTGACTAAATGCTGTTAGGAAGCCCCGGTGGAATGGCGCCTGCCGAAGCCATTTATAAACTGAGGTGCTGGCCGAGTGCAGTCCCCGGGCAGGCCCGAAGTAGCTCACACTCTCTCCTAAACGGCCTCAGCGTTCACAGTGGAGGGAAGGACGGAACCCATTGGAAGGCTTTCTGTAGCAGAGCATAGCACATAGCTGTAGTCCCAGCTACTTAGGAGGCTGAGGCAGGAGGATTGTGTGAGCCCAGGAGGTGGAGACCAACCTGGGCAACACAGCAGAACCTCCTCCCTGAATTAATTAAGTGAGGGTCTGTATTTGTCCTCCCTCCCCAGTGCCCAGCTCTCGGCCTGCCCACAGGGCTGCCCCCGGAAGGCTGGTCACATGAGGGAGAATGCAGCTTGCAGGAGCTTTGCTGCAACAGGATAGCAAAAGGTTAGGGTTTAGGGGCTATGCCCCATTCAGGTTCCCCAGTCTGTTTCCTGTTTGCTGGGTGACCTGGGATAACTCACTTTCTCTCTGAGCCTCAGGCATCTGCTCCCACACAGCACCCCATCCCGGCCCTTCTGCTGCCAAAGGGCCTTGGAAGCCCATGCATCTTGGACAAAACCCAGAGTCACCCCCCTTGTTCACACAGCACCTGCCTGGGGGCAGAACTTCCTGTGTAACGGAGGGGGGCAGGCTTTATCTTAGAAACTAGGTTCTGGGTTACTGCTTTTTGTATTGGCTCTGGGGTCGGTTGAGCTCGGATTTGGATGTTGGCTTCTTCCTTCTAGCTGTTTTATTTTTGGGGTTTTAGCTAATTTATTTCTGGGGTTTTTTGGATCAAGTATCTTGCTGTGTAGTTTAGGTTGGCCTTGAGCTCACTGTGTGGCCCAGGCTGGCCTCAAACTCCAGGCAATCCTCCTGCCTCAGCCTCCTGAGTGCTGGGATTATAGATATGTGCCACCTCGGCGGATGCCGACTTTCTGTTTGTTTAGCTGTGTGCTGTTTGGTGAGCCATGAGCTGCCTGCCTTGGCTTCCCTCTCTAGGACAGAGTCGTGCGGGAGATCCTGTTATAAAAGCACCCGAGTATGCCTGGCCCGGTAGTGCCCCCACCCTAATGCTTGGGAGTTGCTGCTTATTTTAAGAGGCTCAGAGGCCTTTTGGGCCTGAGAGCAGGGCACGGTTCTCCCAAGTCTGAACTTCAGTAGGAACGAGAGTGTTGGGGACCTGTTTGGATGTGCTCTCCCGTCAGTGCCACCCTAGGCCCCCGTCCTGCAGGGATGGAGACAGTGGTGACCAGAGGCCTCCCCGGCTGGCTGCTGCTTTTGTTCAGCACTCTGGCCACGGCCTCAGCAGTGCCCGGACCGGGGCCCGACACCAGATGGCCTCTGCAGGTGGGGCCAGGCTCGGTGTCCAAGCCCTGCTTTCCAGGATCAGCCGTGGACACACAGGCGGCTGCCAGGCCACGGCTCATGTCCAGGCCCCCAGCCTGCACGATGAGGGGATGGTCGGGAGGGTGGGACACTGTGTGGGGCCTCAGGGTGGCTGGTCGGGGTCCGGAGGTGCCGGGCCTGGGCCCTCTTTGCTGGCTCTGTGATCTCTTAAGATCCCTGGTCCTCAGCTCCGGGAGTCAGGCTGAGTCAGTAGGAGACACACTCTGGGTTTCTGATAGGAGGTGACAGGGTTGCTGTGACTGTTGCTGCTGTTTTGGGGTGGGTGTCCCTCCACCCCAAAGTCTCCAGGTCCCCAGTGTATCTGTAAGGTGTTGTCACCCCTTTTTCCCCCTACAGCCCCACTGGGGTGGGCCAGACCTAGGCTCTTCCCAGGCTGTTGTTTGGGGTCTGACCAGTCCCGCAGGTCCAGCCCACACTTCTCCCTCACAGCCTGGCCACCCTCCTCCAGGGCGCCTCTGCCCTGGTCCCCTCTGTGTCCCCGCCCTGTCTCCTTCTATGTGGCTGGTTGCCTTTGGTGCTCCCCAGCAGGCACACTGGGCTCCTCCAGGGCAGTCCTGCCCCAGCTGGCCTAGCTCTGCCGCCTGCCAATTGCATGAATGCCGTGCTGGGGACCTGGGATGGAGGAAACCGGGCCCTGGGGGTGATGTTTCCAACCCTGGCCAGCTGCCAAACCTGTCTAAATGTCTGCTCGTTGGTTGTGAGAATTTGGGGTTGGGTGGGGAACAGGAAAGAGCCAAGCAGCTTCCACATGGGGATGTAAAACCCACGGTTCCTGCAGTGGGGGAGACCACCTAGGCGCAAGGTTCCCAGTGCTCTGGCGTCAGAAGCCTTTGCCCAACAGCTTGAGTTCCTGTCAGTAGGAAGTTGAATGACTCAGTTTCTCAGTGTGTCAAAGATTGATGCAGAGTGGTCCTGGCTGGATGGTGTCAGGGGCTCGGGGACAAAGGACTCCATCTGCCTGTGCCTCCTTGCGGAGTCACCAGTACCCTTGGTCTCTGTCCCCTATTCCCTTGCCCCTTCCATTGCTTTCTCCTACCCCAGCGAATCGAAGTGTGTGTGCAGAGGGGTGGATTTTGTCCCCCGGGGGATTTGGCCACATCCAGAGACACATTTGGTTATTACAGCTAAGGGGAAGGTGGCACAGGGAGGGGTAGCTGCTGCTGTATTGTGGGTAGGCATGTGGCTCTGCCGTGTTCCCCACAATGCCCAGCACAGCCCCGCCACAAGAAATTCTCTGGCCCTGGATGTCGGTGCTTCGGAGTCTGACCCCTCTGTGACCACACCTGTGCCCAGCCCCACACCCAGCCTGATGGCTGACCACTGGAGACCCTTTAGATCTTGCCCTGCCTGTGTCTTCCATCAGCTGCACCAGACTGCTACTCAGAGTTGACAGCAACCTGTTCCCCCTGGCCTTTGCACATGCTGTGGGTTAGGATTAGGGCTACATAGCCTTGCTTCTGATCCAGGAGCCCAGGGAGAGGCTCCTTTTCCCAGAGAGTGGCTTGTCCCTGCTTATTTGTTCCCACGCTGTCCACTGACCTCTCTCTTTCTCCCGCCCACTCCCTTGTCTCTGGCACCCGGGCCTGTCGGTCCTTCCTCGACAGCCCTGCCATTTCGGAGCAGGTAGGTGTGCCAAGCACTCTGTGAGGCCACCTTCCTGTGTTTTAAAATTTTTTATTAGTGCGTGTTCGCACCACATAATCGCTCACTGGATGTAGTCATTTATTTATCTTTCCCCTTTATGCAGATGAAAAAAATATGCAGACAGTACCAAAAATGAAACCACAAGAATATGTGAAAAGAAACAGGCCACAAAAGATCATACACTGTGTAGTTCTATTTTTGCAAAATGTCCAAAATAGGCAGATCCAAGGACAGAAAGTACAGTGGTGGTTGCCATGGGTATGAGTGTTCTCGGGGGCGATGAAAACACTCAGAAATCAATTGTGTGCGGAACGCACCGAGAGCCGCTGAATTAGTTGTACGCGGGAAGTGCATGAATGGCATAGTATGTAAATTTCCTCTGAGTGAAGAGTGACACAGTGGGGACACGGCGAGGTGTCGGAGGCGTCCCCAGCCCAGTCCAGATTTGGCGGGTCCCTCTTGCTCTTAATGCAGACGCAGCTGAAGGGCAGCGGCGACTCGCTTTGGAACTGAGGCCGGCCCAGAATACACGCTCTGTGCCTCGATCCACCACTTCCTGTGTCTGGAGATCTCCACCTCTGCCCAGAGGACGCGCCCCTGTTCTCCCGCATTCTGTTCTGTGCCGTGGATGGGCTCTTCTTCCCTTCCCCAGTCCCCAGCCCCCGGGTGACGGACGCTTGGGTCCTTTCCAGCCTGCGGCTCCTGCCAACCGTGGACAGTGCATGGCCTTGTCCGGGCCTCGTTTTGCTTGCACCGTGCAAAGGCTGCAGCTGTGGCATCGCTGGCCGGAGCTGGGTGGTGGTAGTGACCCTCCTGTCCCCGAGCCAGCCCCCGCCGGCAGACGCATGCTGTCCCACTGTGGGGCTTTGGGAACACTGTCCTCTGAGGCTCTGTTGCACTGGGTGAGCCACTCCTGGGAGTGATCTCTGTGCCTCGGTGGTGCGGTTCACACCTTTGCCCTGTTTGCTGTTGTCTGCCTCTGGGCTGGGGAGCTGCTTGGCTGTTTTGTTCTTCGCCTGTCACCAGAATCATGAGCCGGACTGCTTGCTGGTGTCCTGCCACGCAGGAGGGGATCTTCCGGCTGCGGGGCAGGGAAGGTCAGGTCCCAGCGCGTAAGCACGGAAGGTGGGGACTTTTTATTGTTTTTAAATGGCGTCTGGGTATTGAGGGGTGCACAGCCTGAGGTTGCATGGGTGGTGTACTTCCCTGGACACCACTCCATTAAAAGGGAATCTGCACCTGTCACCCTGAAGACCCGTCCTCCTCACCTGGCCTGTCTTTACCTTCTCTTCACGGAGGTAACTTCTTATTTTTCTGAGACAGGGTCTGTCTGTGTTGTCTAGACTGGCCTTGAACTCACTATGCAGCCCAGGCTGGTGCTGAACTCACAGCGGTCCTCCTACCTCAGCCTCCCAAGTGCTGGGATTACAGATCTGCCCCACCATGCCTGGCCCAGCTGATGTTTTAAAAATATTTCTTTTAAGGGTCAGGGATTTAACTCAGTGGCCTAAGCGCCTGCCTGGCAAGTGTGAGGTTATGAGTTCTAGCCCCAGTTTTTAAAAAAAAATCCTTTTTTTTTTTTTTGTTATTGTTGTTATTGCTTGTTTTGTTTTGTTTGGTTTGGTTTGGTTTTTTGAGAAAAGATCTTGCTACGTAGCCACACTGGGCTTGAACTCTCTGTGGTCCTCCCGAGGCTGCCCCTGCTCCACCCAGGGTTGGGTTGCAGGCCTGCACCACCTCTGAATGGTTCCCTTTGGTGGAGGCTTTTACCACGCTCGTACCCCTAAACTACGTGGTTAGCATTGCATGCTTTGATGTTGAGTCAAAACTGTCAAGCTTCTTTCTCTTCCCTTTTAAACAATGAGGTGACCTTCCTGTAACCAAATGAAGCATTTTAAAGTGTGCGGTTTAGCAGCTTTTACTGCGGTGTTGTGTAACCATTACCCCATCTCAATCCAAAACATGTTTCGGCACTTCTGCCCCTCGGCAGCCACTCCCCACTTCCTTGCCCCTGCCCCCAGCAGCCACTTGACAGCCACTTGTTTACATTCTGTCTTAGCAGATTTGTCTGTTTAGGACATTTCCTATCTATCCTCTTGCGTCTGGCCTCTTTCACCAAACAGAATGTTTCTAAAACTCAACCATGTTGTATCATGTATCAGGACTTTATTCCTTTTCACAACTGAATAATATTCCACCCTGCACATAGGCCATATTCCATTCATCTGCTGGTGAGTGCTTGGGTTGCTTCCACCGCAGGCCTCGGGAGGAGTGCAGCTGCCAGAGTAGGAAACTGGGAGTGGCTGGTTGCTGTGTGAAGTTGTCATCTGCCCCTCTTTTCTGCCCTCTGGGGTGTTGGTTCCTGAGTGTGTCTTTGTTCTTTCTCCTGATGACTGACGTCCCCAAGGTCTGTGCCTGGGAGCAGAGTTGCTCAGGGAGTGGAGTTACTCAGAGTTCCAGTAGACACATGAAAGAGGCCAGGCCCACGGGCACATTGCTTCCCCCTCCTGGACTTTCCTGGCTCCCCTGGGGCGTTGTCCTGGTGTGGCGTGAACCAGCTATGCCGGGGTCCCCCTGCTGGCCTCACCCTTGACTGGGGCTGCTGGCTTTATTGGTCCCCGGATTCTCCCCGGGCTGTGTCTGCTGCCGTTCTGCTCGTCGCCTGGGTGGTGCTGCCCCAGCTCACTCCTCACATGTCACGGGAAACCCCTGCCTCCCCTGACAGTAGGCCGTTGGCCTCCGGTTCATCTTACTTACTGGAACTAGGGAAACTGAGGCACACAGGTGTTTGCAATTAGTTGCTTGCTCTTGTGAGTTCCTGAGCTGTGCGGTGGGTCCAGGCTGAGCTGGGCCTTGGGGCGCATGGGGGTGTTTTCTCAGGCAGAGCCCAGGAGTGGGGAGGGAGAGGCGAAGGTTCATGTAGGACTCTCACACCCAGACCCAGAAGCTGGCCCAGCCAGCTGTTACTAGCTGTGTGACCCCGACTGGGTCTATTTTCTTGCCTATATAGTGGGGGTGAGGCCTCCCTGCAAGAGGAAGGGGTGTTGGGGTAGACACTTGGAGCGGCCCCTGGAAGTGTGCTTGTGGGGGTAACTGGAGCTGGTCAAGGGAGGCTCCTGGGCCCTTCTCTTCTGAGATCCCCCTTTGGCCTGACACACCCCTGTCCTCATCCTCCCCGGGATGCAGTGTGTCCCTTAGCTGGTCTCTGATCCTTTTATGCCCAGCCCTGCCCTTCTCAGGTATTGGGCTGTCTTGCTAGAAGAGACCTGGTTTCCCTGGACAGTCCAGTGAATTTCTCACCCTTTCCTGGACACCTGTTGCTGTCCCTGCCCCTCCAGAAGCTTTCGCTAAGCTCCCCCTGCCACCGCTCAGTGTTACCCCTTATCTTCCTAGCCTCCCCTGGGGCACAGCAGTCTGGGGACTACCCAACCCGCAGGATGACTGATACTTTACTTCCTCTCCCCCTGGCAGGTGCCAACATTGCTTCTGGTGAAGAAGTGGCCATCAAGCTGGAGTGCGTGAAGACCAAGCACCCGCAGCTGCATATCGAGAGCAAATTCTACAAGATGATGCAGGGGGGAGGTAAGGAGAGGCAGGGCTGGGGTGGGGCTTGGGTATGCAGATGAGAAGGGGGCAGGGCTTGAGTATGCAGATGATGCAGGGGCAGGGCTGGGGCAGGGTTGTGAGTATGCAGGTGATGCAAGGGAGATGTTGCTGGAAGGGTATGCTGGGGCAGGGCTATGCCACACAGGTGATGGGGGTTGGAGGACCGCCCCTGACAGACCCTCTTTCCCGGCCCCAGTGGGGATCCCATCCATCAAGTGGTGCGGGGCTGAGGGCGACTACAATGTGATGGTCATGGAGCTGCTGGGCCCCAGCCTGGAGGACCTCTTTAATTTCTGCTCCCGCAAGTTCAGCCTCAAGACGGTGCTGCTCCTGGCCGACCAGATGGTGAGTCCCCACCTCCCCGTTTCCCTCTCAGCCTCTGTTTCCCATGGGGCACAAGATAGCAGCTCTGCATTCTGCCTCCAGGGGCTGCTGGAGGAGGAGGTGGAGACAGGGACCTAGCTGACTTGGGGTGTTTGTTTACAATGCAGATTCCAGGTTTGACTCTGCCCTGCCAAGTCAGGCCCCTGAGATGGGCCCCCAGGACACTGTTGCTGTGATTTTAAAGTCTGATCACACAGGCTGGGGACTGAGTCCTGCTCCATGGGGAGGACAAAGATGAATTGCTAAGCCTCTCTGAGGCTCAGTCACCTGTCGGGAGTCTTTGTGTCGTCCCCCCTCCCCCCACTTTGCCAGTTGTGGGGATTATGGGCAGTGCCTAGGCCAGAGCAGGCATTAGGGTGACTACAGGGAAAGCTTTTTAAAAAATACAAAACCAGGGCTGGGGAGGTAGCTAAGTGGTGGAGTATTTACCCAGCATGCATGAGACCCTGAGTTTGATCCCCAGCACTGCTTTAAAAAAGCGTGTGTTTGTTTGTGTGTTTATATTAATATGTTTTGACCTGACATGAAATGTGCCGATCTCGCTGCGGTGCAGTCTGCAGCTGGCCTGAAGAGCCTCAGACAGCTTGCAGTTGTAGGCCAGGTGCACACGCTGCAGGGAGAAGGACCATCAAGTCTGGGGGTGAAACTCACAGCAGCTCCCAGGGATTCGGGGTTCTCTTCCGTGCTGCAGCCTGAGGCCCAGGGCTGGTAGGAGCTGCCTGGGGATGCTTCCTGTGCATGGATGTTAATTTGAGCTTCAAAAAAATCCCTTAAAGGGGAAAGAAAGGCTTTTAAAACAAACAAATCCTTTAAAGGGAAAAGAGGCAGAAAGGGTGACTTTGGTGTCCTTTAGAGCTAGGTGATGATTCTCTGTCTGTGCCCCGTCCCTGCTGAGCTCAGGCTCCATGCTTTGATACTTTCTGCCCTCCATCTCCCTGCTCTGCTCACTGTGTGCCCCTGGCAACCTGCGTTGGGGTAGAACCATGCTGCAGGTGTCTGCAGGGGCCCAGCTGCCTCGCCTGCCGGGTCCTCACTTCTGAGTCTGCCGTTCACTTTTTGTCTTTATCTCTTGGCCTGTCTCACAACTCGCTTTATAAAGATCTCTTTCCAAGCCCATCCTATTGTCACTTCCCCCAGGAAGCCTTCCCTGATCTGCTCTTTGAAAGCATCCTTTGGGGCTGGGGATTTAGCTCAGTGGCATAAGCGCCTGCCTTGCAAAGCGCGCAGTCGTGAGTTTGATCCCTGGTACCAATATAAATAAATAAATAGAAAAGAAAGCATCCTTCACAGTTGAGGGTAGAACTTTCTCTTTGGTCTCAGGACAATGTGTCAGTTGTCCATTTCCGGGGCCTCAGCCCTGGGCCAAGCCCATTGGAAGGCCCCTCTGTTGAACCCACGCTAAATGATTTGCTGTCATCCTACCCCCCAGATCAGCCGAATTGAGTACATCCACTCCAAGAACTTTATCCACCGGGACGTCAAGCCTGACAACTTCCTCATGGGCCTCGGGAAGAAAGGCAACCTAGTGTACATCATCGACTTCGGTCTGGCCAAGAAGTACCGGGACGCTCGTACCCACCAGCACATCCCCTACCGGGAAAACAAGAACCTGACCGGCACTGCCCGCTATGCCTCCATCAACACGCACCTGGGCATCGGTGAGTGTGGGCTTGGGCTGGTGACCGGACCCATCCCCAGCTTGGCCGAAGGCTCCTGGGGAGGGACTTGGGTTTTGTTTTTTATTTTATTCATTTTGTTTGGTTTGCAACAGGGTCTCACTACGTAGTGCAGGCTGAGTTCAAACTTGGGGCAATCCTCTTGACTCGGCCTACCAAGGTGTGGAATTTCAGGCAAGTGCCACCATGCTTGGCTCCTAGGGACTTTGTCAGGGCCCTCACTGAGACAGTCCTTATTCCGGCGTCGCAGAGGTGTGGTTGCCTGCCCCTTTATGGACTCTGTTGAGTGGGTGACAGTTCCCTTCTGTACCACCAGGAAAGGCAGGTGCAGGCAGAGGTTTAACCCAGGCAGCATAAGAAAAGAAGCTTTAGTGAGTGCAGAGTTGGATTTGACCCCAGGCCCCTTTATGCCACAGCTTGCACCCTGGCCATGCAGTGGGCCAAGCATGGGGGCAGCAGTGCCCACTCATAGTTGTTGAATGACGTAGCGGCTGCGGTGGAGGAACTGTGCCCACACAGCTGAGAAGGCTCTGCCTCAGGCCCTCGCTCAGAGCAGGGCTGCAGGGGTCTGGGGTGCTGGGGATGGTGCCGCTCACCTCCCCTCTGCCCCTGCAGAACAAAGCCGTCGTGACGACCTGGAGAGCCTGGGCTACGTGCTCATGTACTTCAACCTGGGCTCCCTGCCCTGGCAGGGCCTCAAAGCGGCCACCAAGCGCCAGAAGTATGAGCGGATCAGTGAGAAGAAGATGTCCACGCCCATCGAGGTCCTCTGCAAAGGCTACCCCTGTGAGTAGCTGGCCTGGGGCATGGGTCCTCTGTCTGAGGGCAAGTCAGGGCCATCTCGAACCCAGAGAGCCTTAGTCATGGGTGCTCTGCTGCTGCATAGTCCGGGCCTGGCTGGTACCTGCCGTGTCCCAGCCCACGCTCATCTCCCAAGGGGCCTCTCCCAGTCCAGGTGGGCGGAGGGGGGTAGGGACGTTCACTTCCTGTTGCTGGGGTCGTGTTCGGGTCACCTCCACTGCTGGGCTCTTGCACACCCGCTGCCCTGGTCTCCATGACCCCAGAGTGCTTGGAGGGGGTAGGCAGGGAGCGGGGACCTTGGGTCCTTGGAGCAGTTACGGAAGCAGCCCCCCATCTTCGGCAGGCTGGTTCACTCTTCATCCTGCTCCTCTCGGGTGGGAGGTATCTGGGGACGGTCGGTGGCCCTCACCAGGCTCCTCTGTCCTGTGTGCCCCCTCCAGCCGAGTTCTCAACATACCTCAACTTCTGCCGCTCCCTGCGGTTCGACGACAAGCCCGACTACTCCTACCTGCGCCAGCTCTTCCGCAACCTCTTCCACCGGCAGGGCTTCTCCTACGACTACGTTTTCGACTGGAACATGCTCAAATTCGTGAGTCACTTGAAGGCCGAGGCAGGCTTGGGGGACCGGACGGGCCAGCCCTTGACTCGTAGGGCCCGAGTGACCCAGTGGCGGGCGGGGCTCCCAGTCAATGGGAGGTATGAGCTGCACAGCATGAGTGACCTCACCGGGGTCCCTGAGCGCCCCTTCTCCTGCTGCATCAGGGTGGCCAGCGAGGCAGGGGTGGCACTAGCAGGTCCACCCGCTGCCCTGCTGGCCGCCTGCACCATCCTCCTGCTGCTCTTGTCCTTCGCGTCCCAGGTGGCCGCCTTCTCCGAGTCCCTCGTGGCCAGCCTGGACCCATGCAGAGTGGCTTCTTTCCTCCTGGTCCTGGGACCCTGGGTCTTGCTAGGTGGTCACTCTGTCTCCCTCTTTTAAGGATCCTGGGGGGTGGGGTGGGGACAAGCGTTCACCAGCCGTGCCTGGAGCTCTGAAGCCCGCGAAACCCTGTCTTCTTTCACATCTGTTCTGGAAAAAGGGGGCTCCCACGAGCCAGGCTCAGCCCCGCAACGGCGAAGCTAGTGCACCGCCCTGCCCCCGTCCCTGGCCCTGTGCCGGGCCCTCGTGCTCTCCCACATACTGGTAAGGAGCCTTCGAGGCCTGGCCCTTCTGCGATTCACGACGCAGCCAGAAAGCACAAAGGCTGAACCTCAGCTGTGCTCTCTCTCACTTCCAGGTGCCCGGCGCCCCTGGGCACCCAAGGCCTCCCAGATAGGCCTATGGAGGAGGTGGAGGAGGTGCAGGAGCTACCACCACAAAGCTACTGGCCCATGGTCTGGACTCCAGGGCCCCAGTTCTGACATCGCCTGGTGCAGCCAAGCCCCCCAAGGCCAGGCCTGGCGGGGTGTCATGTTTGGGACAGTGGGGAAGGCGGACTGTTGTGGAGATGTGGCTGTGTGCTGGACAGGGTAGGACAGAAGAGGCCTGCGTAGGATTCTTAGGAGTGAACCAGCTGCTCAAAGGCCAGGACAAGCATGAAGAAGGGATAATGGCCCCTGTCAGAACGGCAGGACCATCGGAGACCTCTCTATCAAATCTGATCTCATTAAATGTTTCCACGAGCCATCCTGCTGTGCCTGCTTTCATGCGTGGCCCTTACCTGCCCTGCCAGGCACCACAGACCAAGGCCTTGTCCTCTTGGATGCCAAGCACACTGCTGTTCAGCTGCTTCTCTCTCTGGGCGCTAGACAGTAGCCTGGTCCTGTTCTCCAAGGCAGCAGGCAGAGAATGGGGTCTCACATGCTGGGCACCTTGGGGAGGCCTCTGTTGCCTTTCTCTCCAGAGATGGGATGAGAAGAGAGCAGTAGACAAGGGCCTGGGAATCTAAGTCTGCTTCGGGGAAGGGTTTCACCCTCCCATCCGTGCTCCAGAGTGGCTCTTTGTTCTCTTAGACCTGTACCATCTACTGTGGTGCTAACTTTTATTTTTTGGTATTGGGAATCAAACTCAGGACCTTGTACTTGCCAGGCAGGCACTACGCCCCTGAGATATATCCCTGGCCCTGTGGTGCTAACTTTAATAAAATTTAAGTAAAACAGAAAACGTTCTTCAGTCACCATCTCATTTCGAGTTCTCGGAGCCACAGGCAGGCAGATGGGCATATTTCAGTCATGCTGGCAGGTCCTGTGGACAGTGCTGCTTGGGACATCTTCACAGCATCCTTCACGGGACCATCCAGCCGATAAAATCTCTCAAGCCAGGCCAGATGCACGCTTCTTACTATTGCTAGGCTCTGACCCCTTGCCTGGGATCTCTTTGGATCAAGCTGTGGAATACAAAGCTGAACAAAGGTCTTCTATCAGCCCCTGGCCCTGTCACCACCACGGCGAGCTGTTCCACTGCCTGCAACTCCCACCAGGATCTCTTAGGGAATGCACCATGGAGACTTTCTACAGCCAGGCTCCTCCTACTCTGCAGGAAGCTGAGCCCAGCAGATTGGACTCCGTGCTAGGCACTGTGGGTTTGGACTCTCCCACTGGACGGATCTTGCCTTTGACCTTGAAGTGGCCTCCCGTGTTGTTAAGTATCAGGGTACTGGATCCCCGGATACCTGACACTGGGATGCTACTCGGGGGACACAGTGCCCCGTGTTCTGAGTTTGACCAGCTGGCCAGGAAGAAATTATACACAGCGAAGGACGAAGTCCATGCGACAGGGCTGGATGCTTGGCTGACTTTGATGTTGATCTTTTGTGTTTTCTTGTGGATGAATAAAGACCAAAAAAGCTCTCTCTGGTGTACCTTTGTCAAGGTGTTGCTTTGGTGGATGGAAAAGCAGAGGGTCATATTATTTCTCCTGCCCGGGGGGCTGGTACTGGCCCAAGCCTGCTGGGGTAACCTGGGGCCAACTTCCAGTCACCCACACAGCTACTGGCTTCTTGTCACTGCGCCTCTGAAGGAATCACATAGCCACACCAAGCCTTAGTTTTTCAGAACAGAGTAGCATTGGCCCTGCGCTGCTGTCACTCTTGTCTCTCGAGGTGACTCATTCTGGCTGAGTTCTTACAGCCAGCAGCTGAGTGGTGGAGCCCAGAGTGAGGGCCAGAGGTCAGGAGATGGAGTCCTGGTGCTCCAGAGCCTGCCCAGCTGGCTGCGGGGTAGGAGGAATGGGGAGTCCCCCTAAGGCAGGTCTCTGAACCGTTTCCTCTCAGGATGTCTGTGAAACCAAATGGCAGAGGATGAGGTTCAGACCCCAGCTCTACTTCTGCTGTTGTGACCTGTGGGTGCCTCTGACCAGCTGTGACTTTGGGCCTGCCTCAAATTGTGTGTGTGGGGCGGATTATCCCAGGAAAGGGGTCAGAGTGCCAACAGTGCCAGCCGGGTGCCAGGCAGGGGATGTGACTGACCTGGGTTGTTTCTTCACTAGGCTTCGGGGATTGTTTACTGGCCACTTCCCTTGGGGGTTTAGGCCCACCCTATCTTCCCTAGGCAGTAGGGCCTTCTCAGCCAGGTCCCTGAGAAAGATGGGGTACGAAGTGCCCACACCCTGCACCCCTCAGCAGGCCCCCCGACTCAGCCCACAGCTCTCTCCTCCACAGATGCGGCCCCTCTCACACCAGCCCCCCGCCCTTCCCTGTGGACGGCCCCAGGACCGACTAGGTAACCAGTGGGCACTGCTCCCAGCCCTGTTCCCCTCTGGGCCTCTTCCTCGTGCAGTGGGGCAGCAGCGGCTAGAGGGCAGGACCAGGGGCACAGGACCCTCGTCTCCAGCCTTGCCTGCTAGGCCTCTTTCCCCACAGGGCATCCAGCCCAGCTCCTTCCTGGGCCCCCTGAGCTACCGTCTTGTGACAGGCAGTGTCTGTGTGGGTCTCCTGGGCCTCCTGGCTGCGACCCCACAGCACCTGCCAGGAGCCGTGGCCAGGTCTGGGAGCAGGGCATGGATGGCCAAGTGGTGAAAAGAGCCCCTGGCTGAACACCAAGGGCCCTGGGCCAGGCCCTGGCCCTGCTGCCACCTAGAGTCGTCGCTCGGGGCCTGTCCTTTCCTCTTTGGGCGTCCCTTGCCTGTGCGCTAGGTGGGCCTCTGACTGCCTTCTCTGCTTGCTTTGGAACCCTCATGGGCTGGGGCCTCTTGGTACACAGAGCGGGCTGGGTCTGGAGGGCCAGGGGTGACCTTGGTTGTCCTAGGGCCTTAGCACCACCCTCTCTGGCCGCACAGGGATCCTGAGCTCCTGCCACGCCTCAGACCCTGCCTTCTCCCTCTGGGGGTCCTGTGGTTTCATCTGTTTGCACTGTGTGACTGAGCATTACTTGTGGCCCTCTCGGGTCACAGATTCCTGCTATATCCTGCCAGGGGGCCAAGGGAGAGTACGCCTCGGCCTCTGAGCTGACCAGTATCGCCTCTCCTGTCTCTGCAGGGTGCAGCCCGGAACCCCGAGGACGTGGACCGGGAGCGGCGAGAGCACGAGCGCGAGGAGAGGATGGGGCAGCTGCGAGGCTCCGCCACGAGAGCCCTGCCCCCAGGCCCACCCACGGGGGCCACTGCCAACCGGCTCCGCAGTGCGGCCGAGCCTGTGGCTTCCACCCCAGCCTCCCGCATCCAGCAAGCTGGTCAGTAGCAGCAGACTGGGGCTGTGGGCTGTCCCCAAGGGTCTGGTCCCCTGATGCCCATCTGAGGGCGCTGCCTCTCCCTTGCCCTCCCTCCAGGCAATACTTCTCCCAGAGCGATCTCTCGGGTCGACCGGGAGAGGAAGGTGAGCATGAGACTGCACAGGGGCGCTCCCGCCAACGTCTCGTCCTCGGACCTCACTGGGCGACAAGAGGTCTCCCGGATCTCAGCCTCACAGGTGAGCAGCCCCGACATATGGCGCTATAGGACCTGGCCTCAGTTAATCCCCTAAGGTCTCCTGAGCCCATTTAACCAAGCATGGCGAGACTCGGAGGCTCAGAGATCTCACTTTGCCTGGAGAGTAGTAGTGCTGGGGACCAGCCCGTCACCAGGAAGCCCCTCACCGTCCTAAGCACAGAGCTGGAGGGCCAGGTTGCCCTACCTATAGGCCACATTTGTTCCAGGGGGTTGGCAAAGGGGCCAGAGGTTGCCTGGTTAAGCCCCAGACCTGCCTCCATCCTGTCTTTGAGGACCCCAATATGAGGGAGCCCCCTTGGCACCATCTTGGGTGTAGCCTTGACAACTACTGTGCCTCACTTCTTTGGGCGATGCTCTGTCTCCAGAGTGGGGACATCCTAGTGCCCCAGGGTCCTAGAGCCACTGGGGTCCCACGCCCCTTCCCTTGGCTTGAGGGACTTGGGGTGGGGAGAGCCCTGCCAACCCCCGTTGCTAGCAGCATAGGGGCCTGCTTTGAAGCTTATTGTATCCCATTTCTCTGCCCACTCCCCAAAGACAAGCGTGCCATTTGACCACCTCGGGAAGTGAGGAGAGCCACAATCGGACCAGTGTTTGCTTAGGTGAGTGCTAGACACAGCCATGGCCTCAGAGGATAACCAGTGTGCCGTGCAAGGGGTGCAGGGTGGCCCCAAAGTAAGGGTCCTCAGAAGCATAAAACCTCAGAGCCTACCCAGCTGGGACCGAAGGGGGTTTTTTTTGGTACCAGGGATCAACTCACAACCTCACGCTTGCCAGGCAAGCGCTTACACTGCTGAGCTAAAACCCTTTTTTTGTCATGAGACAGGATTTCGCTATACAGTTTAGGCTGGCCTTGAACTCACTTTGTAGCCAGACTGGCCTTGAACTCATGGCAAACCTCCTGCCTCAGCCTCCTGAGTCTTGGGATTACAGATGTGCGCCACTGTGCCCAGCCTGTCCCTGTTTCCTTCACTTTTTTTTTTTTTTAACCCGTACTGGGGATCGAACTCATGACCGCCTGCTTGCGAGGCAGGTGCTTATGCCGCTGAACTAAATCTCTGGCCCCTTCCTTCACATTTTCTGGGGAGTTAGTCCCTAACAAGAATTTGAGCCTTACTGCAGCCCGTGGGCTGTGAAGCACGTTGGTTCATACAGAGCCTTGGGAAGGAAGCCACATACCTAGAGGAAGGGGCAGGGTGGCCCCAGGAAAATTCCATTCGGGCCTGGCTTGGAGAATGGGAGCAGAGGGGTAATTTGGACGGGGGGCGGGGTGTCAGAGCTCCTTGGGGATGTGCTTTCAGTGGACAGTAGTTTACCCTTCAAGGGACGTGAGCCGTGACTGGCTTGCAGAAATTCATCTGCAGGTGGAGCTGGGTTGCAGAACAGGGCTTAGGTGCATCAGACCTCAGACCCAGGAACCAGATTGCCTAATGCAGTGTGGGCAGCTGTGTGACCAGGGTGGCCTCCTCCCAGGACGAGTGGGGTTTGCAGGCCCCGGAATGATAGCTGCAGGGACAGGAAGGCAGGAGCTGGAGGGGGCTTGATGGATGTGAGAACACAGGCAGCTGGGCGCCTAATCTGTCTCCTTTCTCCCCATCTAGTGTCTTCACTGTATTTTCTTTAAAAAAAAAAAACAAACAAAAAATCATGGAAAAAAAAAAAAAAACCACTCAATGAACAGCAAAAAAAAAAAACAAAACCCAGCACAAAACCGACGACGGATTTTATTTCTTTGATTTATGTTGCCAGTGGCAAAAAGATGGGGTGCCCTTCACACCGAGGATTCTGGTCCCCCTGCCGTGGCCACTGCCTCCAACCTACAGGCTGCCACGTACTCCCTGGACAACACTAGGTCACAGGAGCCAGATGGCCCGGCCCCACCCAGCCACCCATTCCTGTGCTGCACAGCACAGCACCTGCAGGAGGGGACCCTCGGCGTTGGAGATGGAACCATCAGAGGTGACCCGAGGAACACATGTCGGGGAGTGGCACAGTCATGGAAGGTGGGTCCCAGCGGATTTCATGCACCTCTGAACCAACCAGACGGGCGCACTTAGCCCCCGCCTCTACGAAGCCAGCAGTGAACTTTGTGTGTTGGGCTTTCCCAGTGTCCCCTGGCGCATTTGGGCCCCTCATCCACCTCTCCACGAAGACCCCAAGAAGGCAGAGAGGCGAGGTCCACGATGCCTCCCTTGTGGGCCTGTGTGACCTGTGAGCCCAGAACAGCGGGTGCCCACCGCCTGCCAGGCCACGCTGCCGTTTTCCTCCCCTTACAAGGATGGGGGGACGGTGTCCTCCACATTCCCTCAGGGCACAGAGGGTCCTGCCACCACTCCCTGGTGCCAGCCAGTGGCGGCCCCATCATCCACTCCCGGTCCCAGACAGCATCAGGCCGCACGTCATCAGCTGCTCCCCGGTCTTGAGGGTCGCCTGAGGTCCCTCCTCCCCGGGTGCTGCCTTTCCAAGGCAGAGCCTGGGGTCAGGGCTAAGTGTAGGATTTCTCCATCCTTCCTAGTTAACATCTGTTTTTTTATTTTATTTTATTTTTGTTTGTTTTCTCCATGTGTGTACTTCCTAATTTATTTACCTCGGTTTCCCCTTCCTTTTTTTTTTTAAAGAGCAAAGCTTTTTATTACTTCGTAATTTAAAAAACTGAAAAAAAAATACTGAAGAACTTTGGGGGGAATTTTGTACTTTTTTCCTGTGTAAATATTGGACTTTTTTGAGCTTTATTGTGGTTGTTAATTTGAAGTAATAAAGTAGAAAAGAATAAAGTGACACAGGAGCCATTTGTCACCTCTTTGCCCTTGGAGTTCCTCCCCAGCTGACAAAAAGTGGGCCTTGCCTGGGTAGTACAGGTCACCGGGAACAAGGCCCTGTCTCTGGAAGCGGAAGTGGCTGGGGCATTGGCACGCACTTCCCTTGGGGAGTATCCTGTGTGTCCGAGAACTTTTGTGTAGACGGGTGGTGCCTGAAAATTTTGTTAAAGTCCAGCCTCAGATTCAAGAGCACTGGGATTCCCCAATCCAAGCCCACAGGTTCTCCAGCTCATCACCAAGCTGATGTCCACACAAGAGTTCTGAGTTGTAGCCAAATGTGATGGTGCATGCCGGTGAGCCCAGCATTCAGGAGGCCGAGGCAGGAAGATCACTGTGAATTCCAGGCCAGCCTGAACTACATAGTGAGTTCAGGGCCAACCTGGAGTGTTCAAGATCATCTAAAAGAAAAAAAAAAAGTTTTGAGTTACAACCTATCGATTCCTCCAGAGAGCCACAGTGCAGGGTTCAACTTCTAGGGCCGGTGCTCTGGTCAAGGTTCGACTTCTAGGGCTGGTGCTCTGGTGGCCGAACCTGGGAGTCGGGGGACTGTCACCGGGCATCATGTGATCCTGAACATAGTCCAGTGCTCTTTCCAGGGCTGGCATTTGAATATCTTGTCACACAGTGGCCTGGCTCATGCACCTGAAAGGGGCTTCTGCTGGCGCCCCTTCTGAGGGTTACACAAAGCTGGGTCCCTCTCACAGGTGCATTGCCCAAAGCCAGGAAGCGGCAGGAGGCCTGGAATTCCATCCATTCCCAAGACCTGGTGACAGAACCAGCCCCTGGGCTGGGGATTTAGCTCAGCAGCATAAGCACCTGCCTTGCAAGCAGGCAGTCGTGAGTTTGATCCCTGGTACCGATAAAAAGGAAAAAGACAAAAAAAAAAAAAAAAAAAAAACGGTGGATGACAGAACCAGCCCCACCCTTCCCTGCCCTGGGACCTTCCAGGCTGCACACCTGACCACACTGCACCAACCTTGGCCCCAAGGGAAACTACAAGGAAGTAATTTTTTGTTTGTTGTTTGTTTTAGATGGTCTCACTTTGTAAGTTTGAGTTGGCGTTGCACTCAGTATTGTAGCCCAGGCTGATTTTGAACTCCTGACAAACCACCTGCCTCAGCCTCCCCAGTGGTGAGATTATAGACTGCATCCCTCCATCCAGTAAGGAACTGATCTTTTTTTTTTTTTTTTTTTTGTCTTTTTCCTTTTTATCGGTACCGGGGATCGAACTCACGACTGCCTGCTTGCAGGGCAAGCACTTATGCCGCTGAGCTAAATCCCCAGCCCCAAGGAACTGATCTTTAAAAAAACACTTGATTTGTGTCTTACAGTGACTATTATAACTCCTAATAACACGGATGTGTCTACTTGCTGTATCCTAAAATACATGTGAGCTTTAAAATAACAATTTTAGTATTACAAAAATAGTCCTATGGAGTAAAGAATTCAGAAATGCTTTCTGGGTCACTGGATGCGTACTCAGTACAGTGCCTGGAAGTCACCTGAAGTAGTTTTCTTCTCTGCGTGGTTATTTCCTCATTTTAATAAGGAGTCAGTGCTCCCCCTTCCCCAGTTTGGCCTAATCTCATTTTTTGGATGAGATGTTTACATTCATGAAAGTCAATGTACAAAAATGTAAAACCAGGTTCACCCTGTTCCTATCCTCGTTACCATTTCTGGTTTGGGAAGTTTTTGGTTTTGTTTGTTTGGTTGTGTTTTGTTTTTGTTTTTGTTTTTTGGTCTTTTGAGGCAGGGTCTCACTATGCAGCTTAGGCTGGCCTTGAGCTCACTTTGTAGCCTAGGCTGGTCTGGAAGCAGCAATCCTCCTGCCTCAGCCTCCTGAGAGCTAGAATTACAGGCATGTACCAGTATGACTGGTCTGCTTGTTTTTGTTTTTGTCTTTTTGAGACAAGGACTCACTGTGTAGTTCGGACTAGCCTTGAACTTACAATGACCCTCCTGCCTCAGTCTCCCAAGTGCTGAGACTACAGATGCCTGCTGATTGCTTCTGATTCAGGAAGTGAATATGTGGGTGGAGTGGTGGCTGGCATTCAGGAAGTGACATTAAACAGGGGTGACCAGGATGCATCACCAAATAATCACCAGGAAATTGGGCTCAGACCAGAGAGGGCAAACAATCCTGATTCATTTTCCTGAATGCAGGACACACACTGCCTGGCTTCGGGTATTGGGGTTGCTGAGGTGTTAGATGGAAGTGCAAGAGGGTGAATGCGGAAGACCAGGTGGTAGACAATCCAGGTAGCTTCCTGTACTATGACCCTCTTAATTTATTTTGTTTTTATTTTTGTCTAGTTCAGGCTGGCCATGAGCTCTCAACAATCCTCCTGCCTCAGCCTCCTGAGTGCTAGGATTACAGGCATGTACCACTACACCCAGTTTGACCCTGTTTATAGATGACACAGACACAGAAAAGACTTCCTAGCAATAATGGTAAACCGCACGTTTCAAACCTAAGATGTGAGTCTTAGCTTCCAGGGCCCGCAGCTCTTCAGTGGAAAGACAGGATAGAAGCTGGTTTATCTAACTCTTGAAGTCATGAGGAGATGTCCGGTGTCACGTAGGGACAAAGGAGGAAGGGATGGTGTCTGGTGTCAAGGGAAATGTTGCAGAGATGGTTGATGTGAGCTTGGAGATACGAATGAGATTCACTGGGCCAAGATGAAGAAAGTTGTTCCCAGAAGCATTAGGGTCATGTGCAAAGGCCCAGAGGTTCAATGTAGTGAAATATGATCAGGGACTACCTAGTCTGGCAGAGGGAGAATTCAGAGCCAGATTCTGCAGAAATGGCCATGAATCCATTAGGGTCTTCTGTTCCCTTCTTATGAGCAGCTCATCCGAACTGAGACTTCCTTTCCACATCTGTAAAATGAGAAGCGTCATAGTCTAAAGTGCTATTCCCCTTAGCCTGAGCCCTTGCCTCAGCAAGCTAGACTATGGGAGGAGGACAGGTTTATTCTCAGTACCAAACCAGGGATCACTATCATGGGGAAAAGGGAAGTGCTCAGCTGAGAAGGGCCAAGCATCCCGGAAGGACTGCGGGCATCAGGGCTGGTGCTCAGCCTGGGCAGACTACCTGTGGGAAAGGCGAGGAAAAGAAATATCAGGCAGACCCTCAAAGTGAGCTCCAACTACAGCCCCTGCAGCAGAGCTTTCGTGGAGGGAAAGCTTTCTACTGCCATCCTCCGCCCCTTTCCCTCCCGCCTGCCATGCCGCTCTATTCCAGAAACAGGTGTAGGAGGAGCTCAGGCTGTGGAGCCCCACATCCTGTCGCTGAGCCCACCACACAGGCACCCCAGGAGCACATAGAGTCTTTCCAAGGAGTGAGCATGCCTGTACTCCCAGCATTTGGGAGGCTGAGGCAGGAGGATCGCTGAGAGTTTGAGCTCAGCCTTGTTACATAAACAAGTTCAAAGCCACCAGCCTGTACTAGATAGTGAGACCCTATCTTAAAAACAACAAAATCCTGTACATTCCAAGCTCCAACCTCCTGAGGCTGCTTGCCCTGGACTCCAGTAACTCACCTGAAGCACTCTTCTCCGGGATCAACCCTCTCCCTGCCCCAAGCATGCTGGGAAGGAAGAAGGGTCTGCGTTGTCTCATTGTCTTGGAGACACCAAGCCTCTTTTTGCTCCTCCTCCTTCCTCTGGCCTGCTGTTCACTCCAGCCTGGAGGCATCACCGGCATCTCTCTGCCCTCAGGACTGTCCAGGAGGCTTCGGATCCAGGCTGTCCTCCCCCCAGCCTGGGTGCTGTGCAGAAGAGGATGATGGGATGGGAGGGCAGCCAGGCAGGAGCTGGGTGAGGAGCAGGGGCTTAGTCCTGGGGCTGCCCAGAGTAGCACAGCCCCTTTAGGGAGCCTCCCTGCAGCTCCCCTCACCTGGAGACAGGCAGACCACAGCCTGGGCTCCAGGGCCTGCCCGGGGTGCTTCTCAGGTGATTATTCCTCGCAAGGCCTTTCATCCCAGCATCTCCACAGCACCTGTGATTAAACTGTGCCCCACCCCTCCCTCTGAAGTCACCCTGCCCGCCCGGGTTCACAGGGCAGGTAGGAGAAGTCCCTGGAACCCTAGTGGTGGCACAGCCAGGCCACCAGCTTTCTCCTCCTCTCCTCCTCACCCCCTCATTAGTCCCCCTGGAGAAACCCTGGGCCGCCGGCAGCTCCCCTATCCTCTACACCTGCAGGGGGACCTCCCTTTCCTGACTTGGCTTCAACCTGGGAGGTGATTCCAGGGAAGCCAGCAGGAAGATGGGTGGGTCAGATTGGAAAGGACTCCCCTGGCCAGCTGGGGGTTTGCAGTACACAGGGAAGGAAGCTTTCCTCTCCTGTGTCTCTAACTCAGGCTCTTCTCACAGCAAACCACACGGTAGATGCATCCTCAGTTCACTGGTGCGGCCCAGTGGTGTCCCCTGGAAAGGCCCTGTTCTGCTTCCTGGTGACCACTGATGTCCTGGATGTCACCATCCAGACAGCGAGGGCTAAATGATATTGGGAAGAATTTTCTCTTGCTGGCCGATCGCTACCAGTGGAGTGGGTGTGGGTCCCGGGTTCATTCCCCAAACGTCCATGGGGCTCGCCTGTGCCAAGCTCTTTACTTGGCCAAGTAACACTGCCTCCCTGGGCCTCCATTTCCTCATCTGTCAAATGGTGGTCACTGCCGCTTGCTGAGATGACTGTCAGTCTCCCACATTGCCTTCCACACAGTAAAAGCTGAATGAACAGTACTCTGATGATGAGGAAGAGGACCCTAATGCCAGCCCTTCTGGGGATACAAAAGGAGCTAAGATCTGGTTGTTTTTGCCTTCTGTGTGTGAGCAGCTGTTCTCCTGACTTCTAGAAAATTCCTACACATTTAAAATCATGCACATGCCAGCGTGCTGGCACACATTGATAATCTCAGCATTTGGGAGGCTGAGGCAGGACAATCATTGTGAGTCTGAG